CGAGGTACGAACTATTGAACAGACAGCAAGGTGAAGACTAAAGCTGACGTGCAATAGGTCGAAGCTGTTCGACATAATGCCGACCCTCTCCTCTCCGTCTTTCAACCTATACGCAATGGCAAAATTGTCTCTGTCACAGCCAATTCCTCCATACTCCTCCCATCAATACCGCATCTGTACAAGCTAGCACAATACCCCGTGGTCATTCACGTCTCTCTCCAACCATCTGTCTATCCAGACTACTCGGAGATAACAGCAATTCGACAATGCGGTTTCACGTTTCTGCAGTCCGATACTCTTCAGGAGTCACAAGATCTAGCAATGTCCGCCCACGCATTGGCTTTAAAATCCGGAAAAGGTGTTATACACTTTTTCAATGGAGGCAACCTCGGCCAAGATGATCCCATTCCTTATGAGGATAGAGAGCTACTCAAACAACTTTTAGATGTGGATGCTGCGAGACGATTTCAAAGCACTAAGAGTAGCGAGACAACTATATACGCCGATGATGGTCGAATAGCTTCCCTTTCAGTTGTTGGGAGCGTGGCGCAAGTAAACGCTTCTCCTTCATCACCATCTCGGCCGAGTCAAGCGGCTGAGAAGGTTCCTTCCACCCCAGTCAGTGCGAATGCCAGAAGTAATTCCTCTACCGCATCCGATTCCTCCCACCGTAATAGTAGTGAAGGCAGCGGACGAGCGTCTTCTCTTGCAACGTCGATCGAATCCGTCACGACACGCCCCGTCACGTTTGAAGACATCGATCGCATGCTCAATGGCATCTGGGCTATAATCAAAGACGCTACAAAGCGCTCTTACGAGCCTTTCTCTTACACCGGTCCAGCCAACGCTACCTCAGCAATCTTTCTCTTTGGAGCCGACTCGGCGCTGTTCGGGCAGGCAATCGACGAAGCGACGAGCAATGACGTGTTCCAAAAAGTGGGAATCATTACACCAAGACTCTACAGACCATGGATCGGGTTGAAGCTCCTCTCTAGTGTGCCTAAGACTGTCAAAAAGATTGCGGTGGCGGAACAGATACGACGAAAGACAACAAAATGGGGTCCAGTCCTCTTAGACTTGCTGATGAGTATGAAAGGTGCGGATCTGGAAGCAGGGCGAGAAACACCACAAATCGTAGGATATCAGCTGGGCTATGTGGAACCTGTCACGGTTCGACAAGCTTTGAGAGGCATATTCCAGAACTTGATGAGTGAGAAGCCACTGCAGAATCTTGAGGTTGGCCGATCACAAGGGCCAAACTTGCAGGAGCAGGACTATGTACTGGAGCAACCGGATCTGGAGAATGCATACATGAAAATGTTGAGACAGGTATTCGGAGACAGATTGCATGTTGCAAATCAGCTCCGAAAGGACGATGCTGGCATCTCTTCTCAACTTGCAGCAAACCCGGAGTATGGATTTGGAAAATTGATTGCAAGGTCCGAGCATCGGCAACGATTCATCAATGAAGTCAAAGAGGTCGTCAAGACGCGAGATTTTACAACGGATGCTCCCAACAAATGGTTAAAGAAATGGGCTTTGGAAGCAGAGGATGCGGAGAAGGCTAATGCCACCGCGTCGGACGTCATCATGAGACTCAGTACGGACGGTTCGCCTGCTGCTTCGAAATTGCTCGCTTCCAAAGCGTTATTCTACAGAGAAGCGAACTGGCTTATTGGCTCCGATGCATGGGCATACGACCTGGGAAATTCAGGGGTGCATCACGTCGTTGCTTCGGGACAAAATGTGAACATGCTGATTATCGACTCTCAGCCATACTCTGAACACGCTGCTGCAGATGTTACAAGGCGGAAGAAGGATATTGGACTTTATGCTATGAACTTTGGCAATGCCTATGTTGCATCAGTTGCAGTATACGGGTCCTATACTCAGGTCTTACAGGCAATGATCGAAGCAGAGAAGTTCGAAGGTCCATCCGTGGTCATGGCGTACCTGCCATACAATAGAGAGACCGATAATCCACTCACTGTCCTGCAAGAGACAAAGAAATCAATTGACCTTGGGTACTGGCCACTGTACAGGTGGAATCCTCGAGCGGAAGAAAAAGGAGAGGAGAACTTCCAGTTGGATTCAGAACGCGTCCGGGCGGAACTTCAAGCATTCCTCAAGAGAGACAATTATATGACACAACTGATGAAGAGACATCCGCAATTTGCTGCAAATATTTCGGAATCCTATGGATCTGAGGTTCGGGCTACGCAAAAGAGAAAGGCAAAGGATGCTTACAGCAAATTACTGGAAGGTCTATATGGAGCACCGATGACAGTACTTTTCGCATCCGACAACGGCAATGCCGAGTCTTTGGCCAAGAGGTTGGCCAACAGAGGAAAAGCGAGAGGTCTCAAGTCCATGGTGATGTCAATGGACGACTATCCAATAGAAGATCTACCGAGCGAGGAAAATCTAGTCCTCATCACGAGCACAGCCGGACAAGGAGAGTTTCCGCAGAATGGTCGGGCATTTTGGGAAGCCGTCAAGACATCCACTGACTTGGACCTGACTACTGTCAAATTCGCAGTATTTGCGCTGGGTGATAGCCACTATTGGCCCCGCAAGGAGGACAAAATCTACTATAATAAACCCGGCAAGGATCTCGGTGCGCGCTTGCTTGCTCTCGGTGGGAAGAGTTTGACAGAGATTGGCCTTGGTGATGATCAAGATCCCGATCAATACCAGACAGGCTACAGTGAATGGGAGCCCAAGCTATGGCAAGCACTTGGGGTTGACAAGGTTGAAGGTATTCCTGATGAGCCACCCCCACTCACCAACGAAGACATCAAAATTCAATCCAATTTCCTCCGTGGTACTATTGTGGAAGGTCTAAATGATGTTTCAACTGGTGCCATTTCTGCTTCCGATGCGCAGCTTACCAAGTTTCATGGAACTTACATGGAAGACGATCGTGATCTTCGGGACGAAAGAAAAGCACAAGGCTTAGAACCCGCATATGCGTTCATGATCCGCTGTAGATTACCAGGCGGCGTTGCCACTGCAGACCAGTGGTTGAAGATGGACGCCATTGCTCAGAACTTGGGCAATGAAACCATGAAGCTAACGACACGACAAACGTTCCAATTCCATGGTGTGGTGAAGGGAAAGTTGAAGCCTGCCATGCAAGCCATCAACAAAGCTCTTATGACCACCATTGCCGCATGTGGAGATGTTAACCGGAATGTGATGTGTAGTGTCATACCAAGTCAGAGCCAGTTTCATGCTGATGTTTACGCCTGCGCGAAGCGGATAAACGATCATCTGTTGCCGTCAACCACCGCCTACCACGAGATCTGGATACGAGATGACGATGGCAAGAAAACCCAAGTCGCTGGTGATGCAGTTCAAGACCAGGAGCCGCTCTACGGATCTACTTATCTCCCTCGAAAATTCAAAATTACCATCGCTGTTCCGCCTCACAACGATACTGATGTCTACGCCCATGACATCGGCCTCATTGCCATCAAGGGTGCTGATGATCGTCTTGAAGGCTTCAACGTACTTGCAGGGGGCGGCATGGGCGTCACACACAACATGAAGAAAACGTATCCCCGCACTGGCAGTATGATGGGTTATGTCTCCAAAGACAACATCCATAGAGCCTGTGAAAACATCATGCTCGTGCAACGAGATCATGGCGACCGCAAAGACCGCAAACACGCCCGATTAAAATACACAATCGACGACATGGGTGTCGATGTCTTCCGCACCAAAGTTGAATCGTACTGGGGCGAGTCCTTCGCCCCAGCCAAGTCCTTCCACTTCACAAGTAACATTGACACCTTCGGCTGGCAAAAAGATGAAAATGGCCTTAATCACTTCACCTTCTTCATCGAAAACGGCCGCATCGAAGACACCGCCGACTTTCCTATGATGACCGGCCTTCGCGAACTCGCCAAAATTCACAGGGGTGAGTTGCGCCTGACGCCGAACCAGCACCTCGTCCTCTCAGGCGTTCCCGACGCGCAACTTCCGGAGATCAAAGAGCTGCTGAAGAAATATCATCTCGACAACACGGACTTCAGCGGCCTGCGGCTGTCTTCGTCCGCATGCGTCGCATTCCCTACTTGTGGACTTGCCATGGCCGAGTCTGAACGATATCTCCCCGAACTCATCACCAAGCTAGAAAATGCCGTCGAGGACGCGGGACTGCGGCATGACAGCATCGTCATGCGGATGACTGGGTGTCCCAACGGATGCGCACGGCCCTGGGTGGCGGAGGTGGCGTTTGTGGGCAAGGCATACGGCGCCTATAACATGTACCTTGGGGGCGGTTACCATGGACAACGACTGAACAAGCTTTACCGAAGTTCGATCAAGGAAGAGGAGATCCTAGATATTATGCGGCCATTGATCAAGCGATACGGGTTGGAAAGAAAAGAAGGGGAGCGGTTTGGAGATTTCTGTATCCGGATGGGGCTTATCAATGAGACGTACGAGGGAAAGGACTTTCATGCGAATACAGCAGAGGAAGAAGAGGAAGAAGAGTGATAGTATAGGTTGGAAGAGATATATGAGGCTGAGAGACGTGTGTGGCTTCAATCATTCGGCGTTTATGAATCTGGGGGCAATCTGCATCTTGAAACGGAGGAAGGGTTCTCTTTGGACTTCAGCTCCAAAGAGATTAGAAAGGTAGGAGGGTTTATCTTCTCGTATATAGTTCATTGGCAAATTCTTAACAGCCTTACAAAAACTCTGTAATCTCCCGCTGCTCTTTCTCGTGGGCATGTGCCGGTACATGAGACTCTACACCGAAACTTCCTTTGGCCTCACTATGCTCGCCAAACGAACAGACATGAAGCAGTAGGCATATTGCTGCCCCTATCTCATTCACTGAGTCTTCTTGATACCCTGTCCTAAGTCTTTCGTTGGTGTTCCTTCACCCGGAATCACCCAGCAATACCCTTCGGCTCCTTCTCACTCTCACTCCAATCCAACACAACAATACCCTAACGTTTGTATACAGCCAAATGCATGTTCACTCCATCGCTGCGTTCGTCTAGTGGTTCAGGACAGTGGATTGTGATTCATCTCGCAGAACTCCAATAACGTGGGTTCGAATCCCGTACGCAGCACGCCTTTTTTTTTCTCTCCCATCCTCTCTTGGTGTCCCAATGCGTAATCTCTATTATTCCCGCCATTCTCTGCCGCCATCTGAGGAAATAATCGGCAGCTAGACGTTGGCGGAATTTCTTCGCTGGTTCGAAAGCTTCGTGAAGCCTGCCCCTGAGACGAGTATCTCCACCTCTAGCCGTGCCTGGCAGTCAGCTATATTGTCTTACAATACCCATAGCCAAAAAAAAGTAACGAGACTGATGAAAAAGGGGGGAGCCTTCTTGCAACAGTCATTTAGCAAACTTCACAACGATTTTAATTGACTTGTAGTCATTGATTTGGACTACACATTCAATATTTCGTATTGCTTTGAAAAGCATCCTCAAGCTCCTTCGAACCAAGCCTTGCTGAACGCATGGCTAGCCTCCGTTGTGAATTCTACATCCACGCATCGAGCATGCTATTTGCACATAGGTTGGCGCAAAAGACAATGCAAGTCTGGAATAGATCTTTTACTTTTATTGGGGGAGAAATAAAATCAAAGGAAACCTCCAGTCACCTGCCTTCGTAGTCGTACACCTCGACCGATGCTCTCTCTCCGAAATGCCCATTTTCCACAAAGCACTGCCGCCATCTCTCCCGCCTAACGCCATGCACAATCGAATCCGCAAGTACCGCCACTATCTTCTATGTCTAAGAATCACGTCACCATCGCGTCAGGCTCCCCCTCCCTCAAATCCCCATTCCCCTCCCGTCCCACCCCACCCACACCCCCACTTCCATCCTTCCCCTCCCCATCCAACCCCAGGCTTAACCGCTCCGGCAACTTCACCACCGCTCCTCCTCCTCCCGTCGTCCCTCCTTCCCTCGCCTTCGCCTCCGCCCACGCCCTCACCCGCACCAAACTCTTAATCCGCGCCTCCCGCCTCTGTCCGAGACTCACGAGCATCGCTTGGTTGACGGCGGTGGCGACGTCGCGCCGTAGCTGGGTGTCGAGGAGGGGGGAGAGCGTCGGGGAGAGGGCGTCCGGCGGGAAGATGAGGAGGGCCATGGTTTGTTCGAGGTCGTTGAGGAAGGTCGGCGAGGTCGGGGCGCGCGGGGCGAGCTGGGTCGAGGCGAAGTTGAGGACGGGCGTGATGTCGGGGGCGGGGGTGGAGGTGGAGGTGGAGCTCGGAGAGATGCAGGTCCGGATGAGTTCGATGAGTTGGAGGCGGAGGAGGGAGAAGTGGAGGGCGGGGTCGGTGTCGAGGACCTGGAGGGATTGTACACATTAGCTTAATGCGCGTAGAGGATGTTGGTGAGGTGGTGGGGATATTGAGGTTGTGAAGCTGGGTCATACTGAGGACTGAAGTAGGAGTAATTTCTCATCAACACCCAGAGGTGAATATGAGTGGTGCATGAACTCGGGTATAATCATAACAAGCTGAAAGACGGGGGCGAACGCCAATGTAGCTGTCCTCCTTACCTGCGGATTGAAGTCGTTGATCTTCTCGATCGCCGTCTGTATATCACCGGCCAGTATAGCATTCCGGATCTCCACCCGCTCACTTATTGATTCTATATCACCAGTGGCTTCAATGTTTGCCTCCTTTGCAAATTTTCTGGCGGCGGAAGGGTAGCCTTCATTGATGAGGTAGTCCATAATAACGGAGTTGATGTCGCTGCCAATGCCAGAATCCTATCAGACAACTTGATTCCCATGAAAGTCTCGACGGATTCTTGAAAATACATATAGAGAGATAAAGTTCAGATATACAAGTTATTTTTGTCTCCTCATGAAATTTCGGAGAGATTCCCAACTTGACGTAGAATGCATCATGGAAAATATTTGGGCGTCGGCGAACTTGCGGACAGCAGACGGCGATGAAAGCGGACGTACGATTTTGAAACTTTAACATCCTCCACCTTCTTCTCAAAAGCATGAGGGAGCGGCTTAGCCGCGGACATGGTAGAAGCGCTCTGTACGTTGACGGTTATCATTTGATGACGAGATGATCCAGACATATTGGATAGAAGTGAGGGCGAAGTCGTACCATATTGAGAGACTTCGACTGTTACCACATTTTAGTATTATCCCACCAAGCGGACTCCACTAAAGCGGATGTAGCCTCTTGGTAAGCTCGAACCGTGGTTAAGAGCAAAGAGTGGAAGCTCGAATAAATTGGACTGAAGTGCAGTGACGTTGTGGGCCCTCCTGTTTTGCTCACCGAAGCCACCACACGTGACCTCAAATTTCGTCCGACTCGTCTGGCCGGCTTTCCACCCTATCGTGTTTGTCTCTCTGTTCAGCCTCGTGCTCCGGTCGAGACATATAAATAATGAAGCCGTCACTCGTTTGACATGCTCGCAAGGCCTATGGCTGAATTGACTTTCAAGTCATGGCCAACGCGAACTCTAATGGAAGCACGACGCATCGTGCTCACTACAGCCCACCATGGGCAAACACTAGCATTATTGGAATTGCTGGAAGCTCAGGGTCAGGCAAGACATCTTTGGCATTAGCAATAGTAGAATCACTGAGCCTTCCATGGGTTGTCATTCTTTCTATGGTATTGTTTTCCACCTTTTGACGGGTTGTCTAGTTTCTCACGATTTGTAGGACTCATTTTATAAGACTTTGAAGCCTGAAGAATCAGAGAAAGCGTTTCGGAACGATTATGATTTCGATGCTCCTGACGCTATTGATTTCGACATTCTTGTCGAGAGGCTGAGGGAGATTAAAGAAGGGTAGGACACAATCAATGGACAATATCACATCTTGCTAATAATCTTGGAAGGAAGAAAGCCGATATTCCGGTCTACTCCTTTGAAAAGCATCAGCGACTCGAGAAGACGACGACCATATATTCTCCCCATGTATTAATTTTGGAAGGCATTTTTGCATTACATGATCAACGTGTGCTGGACATGCTTGACCTCAAAATCTTTGCCGATGCAGACGCAGACCTCTGCCTATCGCGAAGAGGTATGCTAATTATCCTCCTTCTGACTTCTCCGGTCTAATAGATGAAAAGTACTTCGTGATGTCCAGCATCGAGGAAGAGACATCGAAGGATGTATAAAACAGTGGTTCGCATTTGTAAAACCTAATTTCCACAGATACGTGGAACCGCAACGAGTAATTGCAGGTATGTGGTCATTGCTAAGTGCATCCGACGATTTTAATCTCCACTCTTCATGATGATGCAAAGCAAATATATAGTTCATCCGAACATCATTGACGACTACAACTTACCATCTTTCGCTCCTATCTGATGTAGCCATTCCTCGTCTCACCTTTTGAACCAAGAAATCACGTCCCTCAGATATATTAGCTAATCACTTCAGATATCATCGTCCCCCGGGGCATCGAGAACAAAGTCGCCATCTCCATGGTCAGCGACCGCATCCGCAAAACCCTCGAGCACAAATCCCACCTCCACCAACTCGAGCTCCGCCGCCTCGGCCGCGCCGCCGAAGACCAACCCCTCTCTCCGAACGTCACCATCCTTCCTCCACGCCCACAAATCGTCGGCCTCAACACCCTCCTGCTCACCCCCTCCACCGACCGCGAGACCTTTATCTTCTCCTTCGACCGCCTCGCCACCCTCCTCATCGAATCCGCCACCGCGCTGCACCCCTCCTACTCGCTCCACACCATCACCACGCCGACAGGGCACACCTACACGGGCCTCGCGCCGCCGCCGGGGCGTCGCGGCAGTGTCTCGGCAGTGGTGATCCTGCGGGGTGGCAGCGCGCTGGAGACGGGCCTCAAGCGCGTGATCCCGGATTGTCGGACGGGGAGGATGCTGATCCAGACGAGCTACAGGACGGGGGAGCCGGAGCTGCATTTCCGCAAGCTGCCGGAGGGGTTGGGCGAGCAGGCGTTGGTCTTGTTGCTCGATGCGCAGATGAGTAGTGGCGGGGCGGCGTTGATGGCGGTGAGGGTGCTGGTGGATCATGGGGTGGAGGAGGGGAGGATCGTGTATGTGGCGTGGATGGCTGGAAGGCAGGGGTTGAAGCGGTTGGGAAGTGTGTTTCCGGATGTGAGGGTCGTGGTGGGGAGAGTAGTGGAGGACTTGGAGGTGAGGTGGGTGGAGAGGAAGTATTTGGGGTGTTAGAAGGAGCATACTCCATCTACGAAGTCTATAGTGCGAAAAGAAGCATATTGGATGTTTGAATCGGCATAATCTGCAGAAATGAGGCGAGGAGCTTTCATCAGCATCAGCGCAAGGAGCAGAAGCATTATCGGTGATATTTGATGAACTTGTAAATCATCAGATTGGTATATAGGTAAAAACCTTGACCCACAAGAGTCGCAGTAGGAGGTCTATCTCAAACAGATATCCCTGAAATCGTCCGACTGATACCAAGTATTGAAAAAGGTATAGCTTCGTCCGGTGCAAAATAGTCTCTGAACCAGCCAGGATCCTCCCCTTCGAGAAATAAGCATTCACCTCATCAAATCCTCGTCTCTTCCATTGCTTGCCCATTAACCATCCTCATCCCCTCATCAGAATCTCGAAAACCGACGAGAGCCCCTCGGCGCTTGCCTTACCTCCCTGACTCCACCCACCCAACCTCCCTTTCCGTATCCCAGAGCCTCAGCCTCGGCGCGTATCTCGTCTTGCTCCTTTTGGTTCTTCTCCCACTCTTTGTCGGCGTACCACTTCTCCTTAGCGCCCTTGCGGCGCTGGATGATGCAGCACAATGTGATGGCGAGCGCAAAGAGGGCGGCAGCTGCAATGGCGCCGATGGCGATACCGACTTTGGCGCCGTGGGAGAGCGAGGTCACGCGTTGGGTGAGGGTTTTCGGGGGGTTGAGGACGCGTTGGGTCACAGCGGAGGTGCCCCTGGGGAATCGTTAGTATATTGAGGTTGGACTGAAGCGAAAGGTAGGTTGTTCATCTGGGCAATGCGGGTTGAAAGGCAGTGGACTTACTTGTCGACTTTGATGCTCTGCCATGAACCGGTCTCATCTCCGTACGAGTATTGTGAGGCACCAGTGGTGTAGTCAACGACTTCAGCGCTCTTCACGTAC